TTCTCGTGTCTTTGGAGTACGATAAAAGAATCTTTTTGTTTCTCCATCAGCATCAGAGAACTGAGTTTTCATAGCATATTCTCCAATAGATGCAATAAAAGTGGGAATAACAGTCACATCCATTTAAATATGATGAAAATATCAACTTAATTAGCCTTGAAAATCTAACATTAGATATTTACTAATTTAGCTAGCCATCTAATGCATGCATCAACTTACTACAAATTCAAGATCTTCAATTCTCGCTTGTGCAATATCATCAGGTTTCTCTTCAAAAAAACACATCAAGTATCTAACGACAGACAAACAAAAATTATCATGCTAAATGTTAATTAAGATGTACTTGCAGTAGAGTAAGATTATGTTTAGTATCACAGGAATTGATTTGACACATGGATATGAGAAGAGACACATACGCACTTATTTGATGAATATAAACAATACAAGGGGCAAACTTCTCTTTGCATAAATGAGGAACTTGTTCAAGCTCTAACAATGAAACCTGTGAGGATGCTAATTTATGTTAATATACCTGTAGGAACCACAAATGGTATTTTGAATTCGTAATATAAATGCTTTATACACTAACAAGCGCCTCTTCCAGAAATTCTTGCAATTCCTCGTATATTTGTCTCAGTTCATCCAACTGCGCACAGATGGTAATAACACTAATGTGAGATGTTTTCTGAAAAAAAGAGAAAAACATTCCTAGAAAAAAACATGTTATCATCATCACAAAAAAATCAGAAGTAATGCTTAACCTTATCACAGAAACCCTCTTTCACTTGTATCTCATAACCCTTCTCTTTACTTCTACATCTATAACACCAATAACTGTGGAAACCCAAATTGAATGGTGGAATAGAGAACGAGGAATACCTATGGAAACCCTTGATTTTTGACTCCCTCGACTGCGTTGTGGTGAATGGCCAAACCAGTGGGAGGTTGCGAAGACAAAAAGGGAAAAAAAAAAGAAAAATGGGAGAAACACATGCGGCGTGAACTTTTGTTAATGAGGGGGGAAGATCAAGAGGGAAAGGATGAAAATAAGGGGGGAAATTAGAATACGGCTCCTAAAGATGACACACAATTAAAACTATACTCTGTGTTTTTGTAATTTTGTTGGATTATGACTATTAAATATGACACACATTATTGTAAGTCATAAATAGTTTAGATTTTAAAAAACATGATATTTTTTATGACACACATGTTTTGCAAGTTATAAATTAACGTGTGTCATTAAAGGTATATTTTCTTATAGTGGTAGATCACTTTCCTAGTTCACGACATAACTCGAATTCCAAAGAAATTGGCTCAAAAATGGAAAAGAAATATTTTATTACCTTGGAATAGAACTCACGTGAAGATGATGGAGAAGATGAACATTGGCATGATATTTCTTCATCTTTCTTAATTAATAATGAATTAAAAATTCATTAAATGATAAATTACCAATTTACCATTAATATAACTTCATAATTACCATAAAATCAAGATTCATATCCTTATCATCTTCCAAATCAGAGAAATATCAGCCTTATCATCTTTCAATAGTTAAAGATGAACAAATTAGTTTTCCACTTTACCATTTTTCCCTTGTAATTTCCAAAAATTACAATTCAGTCACCTTAGTCCAAATGTTCAAATTAAACATGAAATTAAACCATTAAATATTATTTTCCAACATTTTAAAAATGTGAAAATAATATTTTTTTATTTTATTATTTTCGTGACCCATTTGTAACTTTTTAAAATTACATTTTGGTCCCTAAACTTTTCAAAGTTTACACTTTGGTCACCAAACTTTACCAAATTTATAATTTGGTCACTAAATAAATCCATTTATAGAATAAAATTCTTTTTGGGAAAAATACCATTTATGTCTTTAAACTTTTCCCAATTTTCTACTTTGATCATCAAACTTTCAAAATTTACATTTTGGTCACTAGCCCACTTTTTGGGATGTTACACATTTAATGTGAAATTATCATTTTACCCTTAATGAAACATGATAATTTCAACTTGCCATTGCACTACCATCCATTTTAATATTCCAAAGTCAAATGTGAACAAATAAAAATTCACTTTCCATCTTTGCCTTGCAAATTTTCAAAAACTACAATTTAGTCACTAAATTTTCCAATTTCAGCTAAATATGTAAAATCGAATTCAATTCCACTGATCCACATTAAATTTCACATGTATAAAATTTGGAAATAATATTTACAACCTTTATATATCATCCTTAAAATTTTCGTAAAATCCTGATTCGATCCGGTTATTCGATTTTTTCAGACTTTACAGTTTTATAGCTTTTAACACAAATTCTGGATCAAAATTTTGATTCCCATGAAAGCGTCATCCGTGGGTTTGAAATATTCATTTAAGGGTACAAAAACCTAATTTTTAAAAATTACTCTTTTGGTCCTGAACTTTTCCAACTTTATACTTTGGCTAATAAACTTTCAAAATTTATGTTTTGATTACTAACTAAAATTTGGGGTATTACATGTTTATAGATTTAATGTTGGTTCATTCATAATGAAATGGGCAGCTAAACAAGTTGGTAATGACATTGTTTGCTGTTGTATGCTTGCAACCCTATTAGTACAGACGTTTTGGAATGAACTTTTCTAAATTAAATATTACTCGACAAAATAAACAAATTATGTAACTTAATTTGAATACAAAAAATATATATCTACATTAATTTAAATAGAAAAATAATATAAATTAAATTGAATAAAAATATATAATATCATCACCCATCACCCACCCCATTACACCAATAATTCACTACATCACTCATTGATTGAGTCACGGGCTACTACAATTGCTTTAGGGAGTCAGGGAATCCATGCTGAAAGTTGGATGCTGCAGGGAGTCGGTAAAGTAGTGATGCATTCATTCACAGGCAGCAACAAAAGCTTTGTATGGAGCAGCAGTGCTACACGAGCTCTGCATGCAGTAGAGATTCCTTCTGAATACGCATGAAAATCTTGTAGTCTTCACCTTGAAGACGTGTAGAAATCTTGGTGTCTTCAAAATTTTCATGCATATTGAAGACGTGTAGAAATCATGAAGAGTTTAGCTTGAATATGTGTAGAAAGTTGGAGTTTTCTCCAGGTCGCATGGATTTATATGCGTCTTCAAAGATTACTGCAGAATTCACCCTATTTGAGGAAATAAACTATGGGTGGATTATTTGAGGAAATAATTATTCCAAAAGCATTATTCCAACAATTTTGCCAATAAATAATATGTTAAAAATTATCTAAATGAAAAATTAATTCTAAAAAATTATATACAAATATTATTAGAAAATATTTACATCCCATGTAAAAAGAGTATAGGAGACCAATAGATTGGATTATATCCTAGCGATTGTAAATAGAACAAATTGAGTTAGGAGAGTTATCTTTACCTTTACAGTATCTGATACATATTAATTGATCAACATATTAGATACGAGTGGTTATATATATAAAGAGCACAAGAGATCTAGAAAGTGTTTATATGTAGGACCTACTCTTGTTTACGCTTTAAATTATTACTTAATTACTTATAGCAATTGGATTGGTTGAAGTGACCTAGACACATATGTGTCAATTTAGGATTTATCTTTCAAATTCAAATATTAAATTTATAAAAAGAATATTAAGTTCACATAAACAAATTGTATTACAATAAGCCTATACAATTTAAGTGCTTTTATGTGATATTATTATAATTTTATATTATTTTTTTGGCTTAAGTATATAAAAGGTGTCCAATCTATGTCCGTTTTTTTAATTTAGTAACTAACGTTTATTTTGTTTCAGTTTGGTGCCTAATGTTTCATTTCGTTATTCAAAATGGGTCAAGCCGTGATGGGCCGTTAACCCATTAAAAATGCCACATAACATATTTTTTAATATTAAAAAATGATTTCTGAAAATAAGAAATTAATTAAAATGAAAAATTAAACCTTATTTAGTTTTTAGCCTATAATCGGGGGACCATTTGTGTACTTTACCCTTAAAATTTATTGTTTGTGAGACCATTTTTATTTTAGATTTGTAATCTATTTTTTAAATAATTTAATTTAATTATAAAGTAATATATATATCCATAAGTTTATATTCTATTTTTACGTGGTAGCTTCAGCGTCGTCTCAAACATTTTCGAGACTCTGAACAAAAATTAAAAAATAGTTCGTTATAGAATGAAAGTATATTATATTATTTTGAACAATTAATTTAATGTTATTTTAATAAATCATATAAAAATGATTAAATTTTATCAAACATTATTTTCATTGTTTTGTTAAAAAAACACCTTAAATACGACTAAGAGAATAAAAAATAGAATATAAGTATGAATTACAATATGTCACTTGATTTTAAATAATAAATTAAAAAAATAAAGAATAATAAATTTTAAGGGTAAAGTACACAAATGGTTCTCCTCCGATTATAGGCTAAAAACTAAATAAGGTTTATTTTTTTATTTTAATTAATTTCTTATTTTCAGAAATCATTTTTTAATATTAAAAATATACCAGATGACATTTTTAATGTGTTAACGACCAAACTTAACGGTTTGTCACTGACTTGATCCATTTTATGTAACGAAATGAAACGTTAGGCACAAACTGGAATGAAATAAATGTTAGACACTATACTGGAAAAACGGGCATAAATTGGCACCTTTTGTATACTTAAGCCTAATTCTTTTTTTATTAAGTTAAAGTGATAACAAAGTAGTATATGTTTTAAATACTTTTAATCATTTGAGAATAAACGCTCAATCACCCTGTTATAATCACTGGTGCTTGAACATATGACCTTTAGGAACATCAATAATTCTTTTAACCACCAAAATAAATTAATTATGCAATTTATATTAATTTGATCAAATCAAACTAGTCCATTTTTATTTTATTTTTTTTAAAAAAATCTATTATTGCAAGCTTACAAATTAGAGAACCGTAGATGTTACTTGAACAATATAGAATCACGGACAACGAGAGGCGTGCTTTTATTTATATCATAGATGATACAGTTTCAAACTGAAAATAACAGTAAAATTAAAGTAAAATGTCATATATAGACATCGATGGGACGTGCATGCATGGAACATGTTATCATCTGCTAACTAGTAGCTTAGCTGAAAGTTGTCAAAGGACTTGAGGAATCGGGGAGCGGCATCTTTGGCTTTATCCGGCGGAGGCGTGGTCGGTGCTGACTGCTCAAACTCGGCCTTCCATTCAGCAATGCATTTGGTATTGTCTCCTTCAATAGGAATGAAGGAGAAAGTAACTCTGTAAGGATCATACATCTCCTTCAATTCCCCTCCGATCACCTCGTATGTAACCGACCTACCGCTCACCATCTTCTCTATCTTCTCCACTGATTCTTTCACGTAATTGCTTACGGCTGCACGAAATATAATTTTGACATGCTTATATATAGAAATCACATGTAAAAATATACCCAAAATTTTATATTTAAATACAAAAATAAATTATTAATAAAAAATATAAATAGAAAATAGACAAAATTATCAAATTTTAGGAATGAATAAATTTATAAAATTTGATAGTAACGAAAATAGACTATCAACTGAAAATAAAATATATATAATAATTTAAATCTGGCAACGATCTAAATGGTTAAGAGAAATATTATTCTCCTTAAAAGTCTCAGATTCGAATAGTTGTGTTTATCGGATGAGTTTACTTTATTAATGACTAAAAATAATTAAGAATAGATAATATCCTAGTCACCTAAAACTATATATATATATATATATATATGAATGATAGTTTAAAATTTTTAAAAGACAACTATTCGACCACCCTCCTTCAATCTATTCCTAGATGCATGTGTTAGAAAAAATGTTTACCAGGGCCAAGTTTGAAGAGCCTCAAGCTGCCGGGGCCGCCGTCTCCTTGAATATAGTGAGCCCTGGAAAGCAAATCAGGGTTAACTTTGCTGATGATTTCATCGTTTCTGTACATTTCCCAGGCTTTCTCGGCTGGCATGCTGAGAACCACCTCTCCTTTCATCATCTTCATCTTCACTCTCCCTGGTTTGTTGGTTTGTTTTTTGTGAGTACGGTGGGGCTTAAAAAAGAAGGAACTTTGTTCTACATACTGTACAGGTGGAGACTAGTTTAATAATAAGACACTGCAATGGATCCCACGTAATGCGCATTATTATTTATATTTTGATCCTAATCTATAATGGTGAAAGAGACATTGTCTAAATTGTATGGTCCAAGGGCTTGATTCTTTATGGTTTTTTCATGTTTAATTTATAATTAATTTTAAATAATAAATTAAACATTTTAATTCTAGTTTTACTTTATTTTGCTATAGTGTGACACTTTATTGCTGGCTTTTGCACTAACTTTTTTGTGCGGAGGATGAAAAGAAACAATAGAAAGTAAAATTTAGTTCCTATGGTATTTATTTTCTGCAAATTTAATCCCTCTAGTACTATTCGCTCAAAATAGATCCCTCTAGTACTATTTACTTGATTCGTTCATTTAAGTGACGTGGCTTTCCATAATTTGCACGTCATTTTATTTAGCTGATTTGGTCTCAGCATATACTCATTTGTCACATAATTTCATTTAAATAACACAATCACAAAAATACTAAAAACTCCTATATGATGCCTGAGTTACTCTATACAATCAGACAGATAACATTTTCACATCGGAAAATCTCCGTCGAAAATAAATCGAACCTGAAGATGCCGCCGGCCGTTCAGAGTCGACGATAAGAGGCCATCCCATCTGCCTCTTACCGAATTCAAGCCTGCAAAGTGTAAACATAATTGTATCTTTGTCCTAAAGAAAACATCAAGCAGGCTGGGGAAAGTGCTGATATGTCAACCTAAATTTTTATTAGTCGTTAGCTTTTTTCCCGGTGATGATCTGGAAGATCCGTTGACCCCTGCTAAATGCTTCGATAAATAAGATCCGCGTCTGCATCGATTAAAATCCCGGCATCCATGATAAAAATACCAGAGGAGCCATAACAATTACTCCAAACAGTATATCATATAGTCGAGCCACACACACCACAGGATCCCAAAGCCTCGTAGACTGCAGAAATGGTCGAAGCACTTGGGCTATCGATACAAGTCCCCAACCGGTGGGAACAAAAGCTAATAAACTTGTGAAGATGTCGATAAATTCGTAGGATGTAAACTCGAGCAGTGCAATTATAACAAGTATTCCGAAAATAATGACCAGGAACTGAACCAGCCTAAAATAAATATGGTCCTTAGCCGCATATATGTCTCGAGTATACGAGATCACTAGATAGATTCCGAATGCCATGAAAATGTAGATCCAAGACAGCAAGTATACAACAATACTGGTACTATGATCAGAAATTCTCAGTTGGTATACAATTCCATAATGGAAAAAGAAAAACCGAAGGTCTAAAACAATCTCCAGTAGCATTCCCCAGAGGCCAGTTGTCTTTAGATGATCTTGACCACCACCGCTCCCAGCTATGTTCAGCCTTTGCAAACACACCACCGTGGAATCATATCCAGTTCATAAATTCATCAAAGTCATCGACGATTTTTAACCAATCAAAACCAGAAGGATTAAATACAAATAGTGCCATTATCCATGATGTGAGCATTAACCAACTCGAGATAGTCATAGCTATGTAAAAAAATGTGCCCTTAGCAACAGGGCTGTGAGAAGCATAAACTGTAAGTAGAGCCCAAGCTCAATAGCCTTCATAAAATGGTTGCGTGCATACAACCTGTATTGAAGCTCTTGTGCTGCACAACGAAACCACGGCCAGTTGCCCGATATTTGGCACCCCCATAAAGGATGGTCCGGCCAAAGAAATGCGCACGGGTTCCCATAGAGAATGTGTAAAAAACAGATGAAAGCTGAAGCTGCATCGTCAAGAAATCCCAGATAGCTTGAAGGAATCCGTGCTCAAGCGAATTCTCCACTATCATCGGAAGGACAGTGAAAAGACCAAGTTAGATGATGAACTGTTGATTTAAGATGGCTCCAAGTACTTTATTGTTGCTGTTGTTGTTCGCCAGGGCAGCATTCTCAAGACCACTGAGAGCAAGATAAAGTCTGCCCCACAGAAAAGCATATACAGTAAGAACTACCATCATTGTGTTGAAAAAAAAAAATCCTACTGTCGTATGATAACATCCAGAAGAAATACAGTCTATGACCCAGCCGATCGGCATCTTTTCTCAGAACTTGCTCACCATTCCCACTGGCATCCTTAGCTTCAAACATTGATATTTGATTCAACCCAACATCCCTTCCTTTACCAACCTGGATGTATTCGTGATGTGAGACATTCTCTCCTCGCAAAGTACAATTAAAGCCAGCAAAAATGTCCTCAATTAATTAATTAAAAATATTATTTTAACATATTTTAGTGACTAATTAAAAATTTGGTAAATTACACCGTTCCTCAATGAATTATACTATCTCTCTTATTTTGCTCGTACTTTCAATTTTTTTTTACTCATTGAACTTTATAGATTGAATCATTTTACTCACTATGCCGTTAACTAATTAACGGTGTTATAATATGGCACAAGAATCAAAACGACATCGTTTTGGTAAGTAAAATATGAAAGAGATTAAAGTTCAATGACTCATTGTGTAATTTACCCTTTTTCCTTCTCTTCTTAATTTTCTCACCGTCGACCACCACATCATTTTCATTCTGGCCACTGTTGACCGCCGAAGATGGTGGCCATTTGATCCCAAATTTCATGGGTCGGTTCATCACGACCCCTAAATATAGTGGTTGTTTATCGAAAAATGTCCCAAACCCCATGAATTTGGACTGAAACGTTTCGGTTTCCTCACTTTAAATCTCAAATTCGTGGACTTCAGAGCAAGTTCCGACAAAATGGAAGTCGGATTCGGACTCAAGGTGTCGAGGCGAAGCAACCCATCCCATTTTGGGACCAAATGACTGTCATCTACAATGGTCGATGGTGGCCGGCAGTGACATCCGACCACCTTCTGTTTTGTTTTTTTTAATTATTTTATATTAAATAATAATAAAAAATTTCATGTCATCATTTGTTAGAGATAAAATGGTCGAATGAGCAAAATGATTCGATTATAAAGTTTAGTGAGCAAAATATAAAATTTGAAAGTACGATAAACAAATAAGAGAGAGAGTAAAGTTCAGTGAAGAACGAAGTAATTTATCCTTAATAATAATAATTTAATTAGTAATGTGTTTCGGTGTATTACATTGTTAGTATATTTAAGTTCGTGATGTTCACTATAAACTCAATTTGTTCGGATATTATTATCAAAACTTAAAAATAAATGTATATTGTTCTCATAAAATTGCCTAAAATATCTTAATTTATTAAATTATAAAATAAATTTATAAATTATTTAAAATTCTTTTAATAATTTTGACTTCAAAAAATTAATCTATAATTAGTTTGGTATTATCCTTTATTTATTCATATTTTTATTTTATTATCTAATAATTTAATAATATTTATGTTTTATTTTACAATAATCTAAAGAGAAAATAACTTCAGTGACCGAAAATGCCTTATAATATACGATTTTAATCAACTTTTTTTTGGATTTGTGAAAATGACCAACAAATTCGCAACGCGAACACCAATTTCACAACGCGAATTTGTAATTCGCAACACATAAGTCAAATTCGCAAAGCACGTTTATTTTCGCAACGCGAATTTTATTTTCGAATTCAAAACACAATATTAATTTCGCAACACAAATGTAAACAGTATAATCGCAACTCATAACCTAAAACCCTAAATCACAACTCAGTCTCATCTCCATCTCTCACTCTCTACGGAGACATCCGTACCCATCTCCAGCGACATCCGTCCCTATATCCGGCGACCCCCCTCTATCTCCATCTCTCAAAGCCACCCTCACAACCGTTCACGGCCACAAATAGAAAATCAACTACCGAGGGTTAGTTTTTTTAATTATTTTTATTTTGAAATTTTTGTATTATTATTAGATTTTTCATATTTAAATTGATGATAAATATACTGGTAATTTCAATATATAGATTAACCATTTCACTTAGATTGCTTTGTAAATTCATTCGGTTGCTGTCAATACTGCTAAACTATTTAGTCTTTAACCTTGTGAAGTTAGTATTTTGGTTGAAGCAATGCAATTCATTCAAGTTTCAATTTGCAGAAGAATAGTTTTTGAAACTTAAATTCACAACGTGATAATGAAAATCGCAATGAGATTTTAGTTTTGCGTTGCGATTTTCGTGTTGCGATTTTCATTTTCGTGTTGCGAATTTAAGTTTCAAAAACTACTCTTCTTCTGCAAATTGAAACTTGAATGAATTGCATTACTTCAACCAAAAAACAAAGACAAATATTTAACTTCACAATGTTGCGAATTTAAGTTTCAAGAATAAACTACTACTCTTTATGTTGTCCTTGAACCTGCACTAAACCTATATGTTGTCCTTTTAAATGTTTATATAAGTGCTTACTTCTGGAATGTTATCTGATGCATTTTGTGAACTATGATGGAATCATGACTTGAGTGAATACCGTGCTAGTTTGAAACATATTTGGCTATATTTTCCATGTTTAATATCATGTCTGTTTATAGTGTATAATTTGTAGTTTTTGGTATATCTAACTTGGTACGTTTATTGTTTTTGTTATGTATGTTTTTCGACTTCATTGACTTTAAGGAATAAATTAAGCCTAGCCACTATAATTGCGTCGACACTTACACCTGTACAAAGAAATTTGTTTGAGAATACTTGTTTCGGGCCATGGCTAAAAGTACAACATCCAGGTGGAGATGCTATGTTGACCCATTTGTTTCTTCAGACCATGACTAACGATCTACCAGAGAGGATACAACGTGGCGATGAAGATATATGGTTTCATTTTCCACCGGTGTATACTTGTTTTGGGAGGGAGGAGTTTTGCTTAATCACTGACCTACGTTTCGGATGACACATTTAAGTAGGTCAGTGCACTAGTCATATCGCCCGCCCATCATGGTTATTTCGGGTTTTTCCTGAGCTGGCAAAGGCAAAACCCAGTTTACACGTCGATGATTTGAAAAAATTACTTCTTAAAAATGGTTTTACTCGGATGGATGACCT